AGTTATCGATTGGGCAAAAGTTAGTGCGCACCAGTGCGCACTCAGTTCACACCAACACTGGACGAGTTCCATGGGTTGCACTGAATAGTGCAAGTTCAAAAGAAAGCTGGCGTTAAACGGATGCCGGATTCGGATTCAGCGGAAAAAAATACATAAGGATACAATGGTTTTGCCGATGGACATTAAAGTTCATTTTTTTGTGGGCCTGTGTTATTAGTTTGTCATAGGTATTTGTAGTGGGATGTAGAGCGACATTGTATGAAAAACCTAGAAATCTTATAGCGTTTTCGATTGGGGTGCACTGGCTGCACTCAGTGTCAAGAGCGTGTTCGATTGGCAGTGCCAATGCGCACTTAGCTAGTGTCACGTGTTCATTTGATCGCACGACACTCGCGTAGTGTGCACTCAGTGCGCACTAATAAAGTATTCAATTAAGGCCTAAACACAATGCCAGGCAATAGCGATAGTATAGCGATAGGAATAATATAGAAATAAGAGATACATAAACTATCGCCTCCCGTTGCACAAAGTCAACCAATAGGAAAGATTAATCCAACCCAGGTTGGTGCAAACCCGATCGGGCCGAAAACGCTATAAATCATAAACTTATGTACGTTTCGGCTTACTATTTTAGCCATCCTCAGCAATAAAAATTATCGCTTATCGCACTATAAAATCTGTCGAACTGCGTCTCGCACAATCGTAGTTCCGACCTCCAAATATGCAATCGAAGTGAAAATGTGGTGAGATACAACCATCTTCAACATAGTCCAATGTTGTGCCAACCAGTTACTTAGCTGAGTGGAGTAGATAGTGGAACTCAAGCTGATAATAGCAACAAGATATTTTTGACAAATAGATATTGATTTGTTTAATTAGAGTATGTTAGTCTAAAACTCACCCCATCTCCAACAACGATCACAAGTGGATCCAAGCATCGTCAATCACTTACAACCATTTAAATATTACAATGTCAACGTTCGATTAAAAATTAATTTTAAGTAACGCAAAAGAAAGACATGTTCGTTCTCATGTGGTCTCTTGTTACTCGTTGAATACAAAGAATACGTGTCGCACGAACAAAGCATCTCGGTTAATGATAAAAATAAACATATTATAACTTATTGAGAATTTCTATGTATCCATGATTTAAAGCCTCAGTGTCTGTTTGCATGTTGAGACCTTTAGTTTGACAATTTATATAGAGCATCTCCGACATAATTCGTTTATTGTAATTTCTCTCCGAATCCAAAATCTTCACATTTTCCCAATCGAAGTCGTGATTGTAACCAACCCTATGCTCCGTGATAACCGAACGAGTGGATGTCACTCTATGGATATGATTACGATGTTCTCCCACTCTCGTCTTTAGTTTTCTCCCCGTTTGACCTACATAAGTAGCATCACAATCACGACATCCTATCTGGTAAATCACATTCCTGTTCTCCCCTATGGGCAAAATATCCTTATGTACCCTAATGAATTTATTTAACTTATTAATACTATAGTGTGCCACCCTATTACACATGCCATTAATGATTTTTCTAAACTTATTCGAAATCCCCTCAATAAAGGGAATTGTAAACCATTTTATATGTTCTTTCTTAACCTTTTCTATGGAGGCTCTTCCCTTACAGTTATGTTTTTTATCAATTGTTTAATCCTATTATTAAGTGTTTCAAAAATAAATTTTAACGGATAGTCATTTTGTAATAAAATATTGATTATAAAATTAAAATTTCTTGTGTGAAACTATGGATACGAGAGAAAGAACACTTTATCTATCAAGCTCAAAATTGTGCCCTTTTTCTGTGAAATCGGATGCTGAGACCAATAGTTTAAAAATCTACCTGAGAAGGTGGGTTTCCTGTACCAGTCAAATATGAGCGTCAAATATGATAGTTATGATTTGACAAAAAAATTGGAAAATATAAAAATAAAATTAGGTTATAGTTTGGTATCGCTTGATGTGGTATCCTTGTTTACTAATGTGCCCTTGGAATTAGCAATGGAGGCTCTTTCCAAAAGATGGGGTCACATTGAAAAAAGTTGTAAGATTCCGAAAGAGGAATTCGAAAAAGCGGTGCAATTAATTCTAGATTCGACATACTTCACTTTCGATAAGCAAATTTATAAGCAGACATTTGGTACTCCAATGGGCTCACCATTATCGCCCATTATAGCGGACATGGTTATGCAGGATCTGGAGAGTCGGGTGCTGAGCACCATTGGGTTTCCTTTGCTGTTTTATTACAGGTACGTGGATGACATTGTACTTTGTTTACCCACGACTGAGGTGGAAGGCATCTTAGAAAGATTTAACTCAATTCATCCGAGACTACAATTTACGATGGAGGTGGGTGGGAATGCTATCAATTTTTTGGACACTACTATTATGTTCAGAAATGACGGTCTCATATTTGACTGGTACAGGAAACCCACCTTCT